GATGGGAGGAGGCTGAGACAGAGGGGGCAGGGGGAGATGGGGGAGGAAGAGACAGAGGGGGAGGGGGAGATGGGGGATGGGGGAGACAGAGGGGGAGGGGGAGATGGGAGGAGGCTGAGACAGACAGGGGAAGGGGAGATGGGGGATGGGGAGATGGGGGATAGGGGAGGAAGAGACAGAGAGGGAGGGGGAGATGGAAGGAGACTGAGATGGAGGGGGCAGGGGAAGATGGGGGAGGAGGAGACAGAGGGGGAGGGGGAGATGGGAGGAGGCTGAGACAGACGGGGGAAGGGGAGATGGGGGATGGGGGAGGAGGAGACAGAAGGGGAGGGGGAGATGGGAGGAGGCTGAGACGGAGAGGGCAGGGGAAGATGGGGGAGGAGGAGACAGAGGGGGAGGGGGGCCCTTTGTGGGCAGCAGGGAGGCCCCCAGCTGATGGGGGTCACGGGGCCAGTTCTTGGCCGGGGGTGGGAAGAAGCCAGCTTGGGGTGGGACGTCTGCAGGGCGGGGCTGGGTCTGTGCTCCTAACCCTCCTCCAGGGTGGGGGGCGGGCATGTCCCCCCCTCGCAGCCCTTCCCCCCAGCCTGGGGTCCTAGGCCAGCAGCTAGCTCGGACGTGGGGGGGGTCTTCCCCAGCCCCGCCTCCTCCGTGCCCAACCACCTCCCACCTCTAGGCCCGCCAGGGCCTCAGTTTACCCGGCAGGCTCACCTGGAGGGCATGGGCCGGTGTGGGTCCAGGAGCCATCCCTGCCCGGCACAGAAGGGAGGGCGGACTGCCCCGCCCCCGAAGGGGCAGAACCCCAGGGCAGGTCCTCGCGGTGGCTCCTGATTGGCGCCCAGGCTGCCCCACCCCCTTCGGCCTGGCCAATGGACGCGCCCGCCGGCAGGAGAGCGTGGCCGCAGACGCACCTCGAGGAGGACCGACTGCGCACGCGCGGCTCCCTCCGAGCCGGCGCCCCTCCCTCTGCCCCCGCCGCCGCTCCAGAAGCAGGTGGCTCGTGCCTTGGCGCCACCCTCTCTTCAGGCGGCCGGGCTTCCGGCTGTGGCCCTCATTCACCCCGGGCCTGGACACGAGGGCTCGGGCCGCGGCTGTAGCCAAGGACGCGGCGGAATCCTTCCAGAGGAGGCTGGAAGTGACGTAGCACACGGAAGCAGTGCAGTCCTCGCCACACCCGGAAGCCAGGGAAGTCGTCGGCACAGCCTTCTGGGAAACGTAGTCCGGAGGCTCAAGCGACATGTGCGCATGCCTCAAGTCCCTCCAGGCCGGGTGAAGGCGCCACCTTCTCGAGGAAGCCCACCTGGATTCCCCCATTTCCTTTATCTCCCTCACACACAGCCCTCGCGCCCCCAGTGTATAGAGGCAGCTGACCGGCGTATTGGATAGAGCCAAGTTGTGAGGATAAGACGAAAGAATAGCCCAAAGCGCGCCTGGCACAGAGAGGCGCTTAATCGATGCTCGTCCCCCGCCCCCACTCCCACCCCCACCCCAAGGGGCTCTGCGCAGCCACCGGGGGCACCCCCTCAGACCCCCCCGGGGCCTGATGCGCCCCCGCCCTTTCTTCTGGAGGCTTGTGGATTACATCTTGCTCGTTTCCAGGCAGCTGGGGGGGGGGGTGCGGACCCCCCGCTAAGAACAAGGCGGTCCGAGGGTCTGAAGTGGGTGCCAGGGTCCCCCATTGCACCCAGGGCCGCGGCCGGCGGTCCTGCCCTCCCTCCGGCCGCGGGACTGCGGTGACTCTGGAAGGGAGAGGGAGGCCGGCGACTGGACTCAGGGCATCTCCCATGATGTCACTGATCCTCTGAAAACGAAGGACGGACAGGGAGCCCCCCACCCCCAACAGTGTGCAGGTGGGGGGGGGAGGGGCCGCCGGGGCCCTAGCTAAAGAAAGAGCGCGAGGGCTCCGGTGTCATCCGCGTGGGCCCAGTTACCGAGGATCCTCTCTCCCATCTTTCTCCCCTTGCCTCACTGGGGCCTGGGAGGCTGCCCACCTGTGGCGTGGGTGTAGGTGTGGGTGAGCCTGAGACTGGACCTCTGGGCTTGTGTCGCTGTGTGGGGCCTGACTGGCCAGCCATCCTGAGCAGGAGGTCTTTGGTTTCAGACCACAATACTCCATCCCCGGGCATGTTCACTGGCAGCACCAGCCCGAAATCCTCTCGCTTCCCACCTCCTGGCTCCCTTCAGTGCTCCACTGAGACTTGGCCTTCTAATGAGGCCCTTCCCAATCCCCCCCCCCCCCCCCCCCCCCCCGTTCATGCCAGTGCGTTCAAGGTCCTAATTATATCCGCTTTATCCTGGCCGTATCTCGTTTGCAGATGTATTATCTCCTCTATTACTTGGTGAAGTCCTTGAGAGCAGACTGCGGTTTGCCTTTCATTGTCTGCCCCCCGCGGAGGGCTGGCATAGAGTAGGGGCTTAATAAGGTTTGTGACTTACCTCATGAACTCAGAATGGGGGTATGCAGGCAGGCACCAGTGACTGTGACAGACAAGTCCTGTGACCACACCATTCCTCGGAAAAGGTGACCATCAAAATGATGAGCCAGGCATAGCACGCGGTTCAGAAGACATGGACCCCACATGCCGTGGATCTGCTCAGCGTCCCACAGAGTGCTGGCACGTTTGAAGTACCAGCCTCCTGGACACGAATGTTCTCGTCTGGTGTTTGAAGGGCTGGTCAGCGTGCTGCAGAGACAGTTAGGGGGTACAGCAGTGGATAGAGCATGGGGCTTGGAATCAGGACTCATCTTCATGAGTTCAAATCTGGCCCCAGACACTTACTAGCTGTGTGACCCTGGGCAAGTCACTTTACCCTGCTTGCCTCAGTTTCCTCGCCTGTAAAATGAGCTGGAGAAGGAAATGGCAACCATTCCAGTATATTTGCCAAGGAAACCTCAAATGGGGTCCTGAAGAGTAGGACACAACTGAAACAACTCAACGACATGTATTACATTATAACCCTAACCCAATCCTAAAAAAGAGCGATGCCAAGGAATGTTCAAATTATCAACCAATTGCACTCACTTCACACACCAGCAAGATTATGCTTAAGAGTCTGCAAGTTGGACTTCAGCAATATGTGAACCAAGAGCTACCAGAAGAGCAGGCTGGTTTTCAGAGAGGCAGAGGAACTAGAGACCAAATTGCCAGCATTCCGTGGGTTATGGAAAAAGCAAAGGAGCTCCAGAAACATCTGCTTCATTGCCTACCCTAAAGCCTGTGACTGTGTGCATCACAGCAAAAAAGACGGGAGTACTAGATCATCTTACTTGTCTCCTGAGGAAGCTGTATGGGGGCCAGGAACCAAATGTGGAACACCTGGTGGGTTTGATTGGGGAAAGGGTACGATAAGGCTGTATACCGTCACCTTATTCATTTACCTGAGCCCAGTTTTTCTTAGTGGTGTCCGGATGTAGCCAGGGTGCAGTTTTCTCTCTCCCTTCTCTGTCCTTTACTACACAGGAAGGAGAGTCACTCAGAACCTCAAGATGGATCACCCCTCAGCAGGGGAAGATTGGTAAAAGGGGTTCCGGGAACATTCCACCCCAGCCCTAGGAGTGATCAGCCCACTGACCACTTTTCCTTAGTCACAGGTGCTGATGTCTGGGTGACCAGATATGAGATGGCCTGTGGGCCATGCCAGATGGGGGGCCCTTTGCATCAAAAAGCTTCCTGTACCTCCTGTGCTAACAACTCCATGGCCAGGGATATGGGAAGCAAGGCCCTAGAACTAAAAATCCATCCCCTGTGGTTTCCCCCGTTTATTCAGAGCCCCATTGTGTGATTTCCAGCTTCCTCTTTGGTCAACAGTTCAGCTCCTTTTGGAAGAAAATGGGGGAGGAAATGGGTAACCCTACCATTTGAACATCTGCAGATTCACTTTATTGAATTACCAAAATCTATGGGCTACAGATATGTTTTGGTGTGCAGAGACCAATTGAGCCAATGCCCACGCCACAGCAAACATTGTAGAATGAAAATTAATATTGATTTTTGTTTCTTATAATTGATTTTACTCTATAAGTGACTTTATTCTGTAACCATATTCTGTATTCTAAGCCTCTTCTCTGTCTTCATGTGAAGAAGCTCATGACTTCAAAGGTTAAGCCTCTATCTAATTAAATGCCAAAAGTTTAAGCTTTCCCACAATTGCTGATAGTTACAGAAAAACCTCTATTTTAGGGGTTCAGTACTCTCATAAACCATTATCTTATCACCAGCTTCAAGGTTTGTGTTATTTTTGAGAACTGGACTCACTGACCTTGTCTCCCTATTAGGTTCATTTTTAGTCAATTAAAAAAGGATGATCTTATCTGATCCCCGGGCCCCAGCCTGTCTACATTCCTGGGTCCCCATCAGTAATGTCAGGATGCAGCTGGGACCCATAAAAATGCACAAAAGCATTCGTTTCTTAAAGACAGAGAGGTGGTCTCAATCCCACGTGTGCATATGTCTGTCTTCCTTAACGTAACCAATGACAATCCCTCACACCGATGATGCTGGCTAATCATTTTCTCTTTGTCCTTTTTCTTCTATGGTTATAAAAATGTGTTGCATCTTCAATTCAGGGTCTTTTTGAGGCTGTCAAGAGACCTGTTTTATTGGAGGGTTGCAGCCCTACTAATAAACCATAATTTTGCTCAGAGAAACTCACCTCGATTTATCTTTTTGTTAAATATCACATGCTGAGAGGTGGTGGTGGTGGTGGGATTTAGCAAGAAGAAACCTCATCCTTAGATCCCTTGGGGAAAAACCTCTTCCCTCTCCTGGGTCCCAGACTGCTAAAGTTTGTCTGCTAAAGGAGAGTTTCTGTGTTCGGGATTCTGTGACTCTGGATACGTTCTCCACAGTCAAATCTTTGAGCAAGAGGGTAAGTTGGGATTCATTTTGTATGTTTTATGTTCGTTTTGAGTCTTTCTACTTAATAGCTGCAGCTATTGAATTTGGAAATTAATTGGAGAGAGACAGAAGACAGAGAGAGAGGCAGACAGAGGAGAGAGAGAGCAGGCTGGTTTCCAGCAGACTGCCTCGTCCTGTTAGGGAGGGTCCCTCAAAACAGAATGGGGGGCAAAGTAACCACCTTTAAGTGCGAGGGAATTCCTACGTCCCTAGCGGAATCTCGGGGCTTCTCCAGTCTGGCAGTTTGAGGATTGTTTTTACCCTAGCTGGTGATCCATTATAGACTGAAATATAAATCAAATGAATTGCCATAAATCGGATCTTCCTTTGCATGTGGGTATACGCGTGGTTGGGCTGGGGAGGCGCGATCGCCTGGTCTCCGACGACGTCTAGTGGCCAAAGTGAAAATAGCAGCGCGTTTATGTGTTTTTTGCGTGTGGTAGAAAATGACTCGGGGTTTTTGCTTCGAGTTTTGTCCCCCATTGAAATTACAACCTGGGTTCCTGGGCTGAGGACAGGACTTACTGGTGGCGGCAGCTGGCACTGACCAGGGCTCTGGAGAGCCTTGGCAGGAGGCCTGCCTGGACCTGGAGCGCTCACCTGGCCGGGAGCCGGGAGCCGGGAGCCAGGGCAGGTAGACTCCTGCAGGTGATGCCAGCCCTTCGCTTCGCTTCGTGGACCACGTATGTGAAACTGTCCCTTCACAGCCTCGGAGCAGCCCCCAAAGACATTTTCCACCTGGATCCGGTTGGGGTACCTTCACACAGAGGATCGGGACGTTTTTAGCAGGCTGGTCGCTGAAACTTTGCTCTCCTGCAAACGCGTGCTTGTCTGTCCAATCTTTCCGGGTGGTCCTCATGTCTTTTTGTGTGTTTCAGAATTTTGTTTTTATAATGGGAGCGAAGAGCAACAAAACCAGCCTGCCCACAGCAGTCTCCCTTGGGAAGACTCCCTAGAGCCTGGGACAGAGCTGCCCCTGAGCCAGGGATGGCAAGAAACTAATGCTCACGTCTTGTGGTGTTTGGTTTAAAAGGACAACTAATTCAGGTGGCGAATCACTGGGGCCGAGGTCCTGCTCCTTCAAAGATCTAAAGCTAGTTATAGCAAACAAAACCCCACGGCAGCCCGAACGTTGGTGTCCTAGAGCAGAGGGACTGATCCTCAGTTATCAGAGGGCAGCTGCTCAATCCCGGCCCCATCCCTCTGCTCCTCTCCCGGGCTTTACCTTCTTCCCCTGCTCCCTGGACTCCCTATCTCTTGGTCCTCGATCTCCTTTCCAGCCTGCTCTGACCCCTTCCTCTCCAGTCCTTCCCCCACTTCTTCACCTTGACCCCATTAGCCCACCCAGGCAGCTCCAGCTCAAGGAAGCGTTGGGAGATTCCCGAGCATCTGTGCCAGCTTCAGCTCTTTCACCCCCTCCCTCTCCTCTCCTGGTCTGTGCATCTCCTTCCTACTCATCCTGGGTCCCAACGGATTCTGGGAAACTCTGGGAAAAACACTTCACCCAACGAGCTTACGTCAGTGATGCTTGGAGAAAGCAAAGAACGTCATGCTGTTAGCTAGAATGCGAAACCATTCTCATGCTGTACACAGAGGTGTATACATACCCGAGGCCTTTCCCCAGGCGTGGGAGAATAACCACGGTGCTCTTTTCAGAGGTGTCCTCCACTATTCCCCACCTCATAACGACACTGTTCATGAAGTGACTTCACTCTATTTTGCAAAGCTTTTCTTTATCAAGCAAAGCTGTGGGGCTTGGAAATCCCTTGCTATCCAATACTGCAAGTCCTAAGGAGCTAAAAAATACTAGTGCTACACTGAGCACTCTGGTCCCCACTGCCTGGAAGCAGGGCGGTTACATAAACCCTCCCCAGCATTCTCTGGCACCCTGAAGGGTGACCTGGCGATGGAGCGGGGAGGTTGGCTCCCTTCTGTGTCAATTAAGCAGGTGGTCCCAAGAGCCTCTTCAGGTCAGGTCAGTCCACAGGCCATCCCAGGTCAGTGAGCTGGGAAGGGCTCTGAACAGGTGAGGCAGAGTTCCCAGGTGTGTGATGTGATGGACAGGACGCTGAGCAGAGGAGGAGCAGTCCACAGTTGGGAGTGTGGATGGGGTTCCATTCCTGAGCCTCTGCCAGTGGCTTTACCAATGCAATCAATTATATTCCCCAATCTAGAGGGGCCTCTGCACCCCAGTTCCATTTTGACCATTTAGTAGACTAGCCTTTGGGAAGGAAACAGTTTTTTACTATGTACTTACAATGTGCCAAGCACTGAGCTAAATGTCTTACAAATAGGATTTCAATGGATCTGCTCTTATCCCCATTCAAGTGACTGGTCCAGGGCACACACCTAGCGTCTAGGAGCAGATCCCTGACTCTAGGCCCCATGCTCTGTGCACTGTGTCACACCACAGCTGCTACATAAGCAAACATAGCAAGTGTTTCTAGCCATGGATATTGCATTCCATAGCCATAGTTCTCTGCTCTTGAGTCACTAATCATTAGCATTTACATAGCACTCAAAGGTGGGGAGCTGATACTCATGAGTGGCCAAAGGCTGTTGGGATGGTGAGCCTGACCGATGATGTCGCAGGTCCTACAGGTCTGCTTCGAGCCCACAACACTCTTTGGGGCCTGTTTTTATTGATATATTTTGCTTTTTCTACATCCCCATGGTTCTCCCCAGTACCCACCTCCTCCGCCTCCCAGATAGCCATCCCATATAACAAGTAATATTTTTATAAGACAAAAAAAGGAAAAAAACCAACAAAACTGATCAACAAATCAAGTATCAGTCTGCAAATGCATAATAGACAACACTTACAGAACTCCCATCTCTGCAAAAAGGTAGCATGTGAGTGTCTTCTCATCTCATTTTAAACTATGCTTGTTCTTCATAATTTCACAAAATTCTCTTTTAAAAATGTTTGTGTCATGATTCTTTCTGTTTACACCATCACCATCATCACTGTGAATCTTGTTTTCTTGGCTCTGCTGACTTCCCCTGCATCAATTCACACAGATCATTCCAGGCTTGTCCAAATATATCATGCGCATCATTTCTTACAGCACAATATTCCATTGCATTCATGGACCATGACTGGTTTGGCCATTTGTCAATTGATGGACATCTACTTTATTGCTAGAAATATTTAGGTGTGTAATATGGGCTCTGTCTTCTTATTGACAGCCTTCTTGGGTATAAGCTTAGTAATGGAAACTCTGGATCAAAGAGGATGCTATTTTAGTCACTTTATTTGCATAATTCCAAATTGCATCCCCAAATGGTTGTACTGACACACAGCTCTACGATGTATTAGTGTGCCTGTCTTCCCACGACTCCTCTAACCTTGACCCAGTCTGACATCTTTTATCCTGTGTCAATTTCCTGGGTGTGAAGTGAAATCTCAGGAGGGTTTTGATTTGCATTTATATTGTTTGTGATTTGGAGCATTTTTTCATGTGGCTGTTTACTGTCTGTATGACCCTGGGTAAGTCACAAATTCTGTCTGCCTCAACTTCTCATCTGTAAAATGGGGATCATAATACCTTCTAACTCCCAAAGTTGCTGTGAGAATAAAGGAAGATATTTATGAGCACTGCCAATCTGAACACACTGTAAAAATGCTATTTTTGTTATGATTATTAACAAGGTCAAAAACCTCACACCAACAATGAGCTCACATTTCAGTTTCACTTCTCTGTTCACAAGAAATCTGAGGCAGGTAGTGGGAGGTTGTGTTGAATCATTTCACAGACGAAAAATGAGACAGGTTGAGGCTAAGGGGTCTGCCTCCGGTCCCCTAGCTAGTTAGGGTGACAGCCGTGCATGTGACTAGTATTTATAAAGTGTTTACTACATGCCAGGCACTATGACAAGTGCTCTGGATAAAAATAGGGCAAACCCATGGGTCATGCACCCAAGTGCTCACTCAGGAGGAAGACCATGTGTAAACCACCATGAACTGGAAAACAGTAACATTCAGACAAATGTTTCACTCACTTCTCCAACTTCATTTTTTCCCAGTTCCCAGCTAATTCTTAATGTTCTCCAATCCCATTTTCTCAGCATGGAGTAAGCACACAGAAACATAAGACAAGCCTTTATGACTGACCACACCATGTTTTGTTTTCTTTTAACTAGACCATGAAGGCGCTCAGAGATGAAAACGAACAAGCAGACTTGACAGCAAATGCTATGAATACAAACATAGCAGAAGAGAAAAGGGGAGACGTTTAGGAACTTCCCTAGGGCCTCCAGGAGGCGGCGTCCTTAATCTGCTTCAATGTGAGCTGTGTTCCAAGGTGGCTGAAGGGACCCACGGGCCACAATGATCTCCCCTGCTCTTGTCTGTCCAATATCGCTTTGGCCCTCTATTGCCCCTTCTCTTCAGGTGAGTTTGACACCACCTACCCCACTGCCTCATTCCCAGCTCCTGCTCCTTCCTCCCATTCTGCCCTCTCAAAGACCACGACTCAAGGACACCGCCCATGCCTGCGTCCACCATAGCCACCGCCCAAAGTTCTTACAATTAGGCTTAGGGTTAATTCTTGAACAATAAAAATCCTTGGAACCAGTCAATTCTCAAATCCATCTCACACAGGTGGTGTGGGCCAGAGATTGCCGTTCACGAAAACCTGTATTTTTCTTGTACGTTTATCAAAGACGCCCTTAATCTGCATTTCCTCTAAACTTATGTAGCTCTTCGAGATATGGCAAAGTTGGCATGTGTGTGATTGTGTGGTTTGTCCTTCGTTCTCAGAGAGGACCATGACATCAGGGAGATGAAGACATGACTTGCAACTGACTTTGATTTGAGTGAGGGAGGGCTGTGCAAGTCACCAGCCTCATTTTCTCCTCTAGAGCCCTGTAGGTCCAGTGGCCACATATCAATCAGGATGACAGGAAGCAGTACATCCTTAGCAAAGTGATTTTTAGTCACATTAGCTCTGACCTTTCACAAGTTTTTTGGTATCCTCTTTTCAGGCAATAATGGCAGATTATTAACTCAGCATTTTATACTTTTCCTCACAGAGATGGCTAAGTACTAAGTCTTCATTCCTCTCTGGGCTGCACCCCCAATTCTCCAGGATTTTCCCTGCAATGCCCCCCCATTCAACAATGATGGATTGGCAGGCTCCTCCAAGGATCCCCATTCTGAGAACACCCAGGCCAGCCCAGGCATTTCATTCTTCTCCAGGCTGCTGGACTCCCAAATCACCAGGACGTTCTCTACAATGCGGTCATAGACAAAATGGCTTGCTGGGGGAGGTGGGAATGAATGACCTAGACATTCCTCTTCACCCTAAATTCACATGCCAAAGGGCCCGCCATTCACACAGGAGTCATCATAGCTCTGAGTGTTACCTCTTCCTACTATATCAGTCTGCCTCTAAACTTACATAGAGCATACTGATTAACCTCTCCGAGGATACAAAATGGAACGATCCTTTCATTTAAGGGAGCAGACTAAAGTAACTTAGACTGAGATGCCAAGGGAAGGACAGCTTTCACTTGGAGCCAGGGCTCAGCACCGAAGAGGGAAACTCTGGGTAGCCCGTGACCCATTTACAAAGGTTCTCGGTTCTACAAATTCAACTTAGTGTAAAGTGTAAATGCCACAGGACACCTTTACCACATTCAATTCAAGGCTGTGGACAAGTTCACTCACCTGGCTAGTGTACTCTCCAGGGATGTGCACATTGATTAACGAGGCTAATGCACTCATTGCCAGAGCCGGCTCCGTGTTTGGGAGGCTCCGAAGGAAAGTGTGGGAGGGAAGAAGGATTAGGTTGACCACCAAACTGAGGGTCTACAGAGCTGACCTCCTTGTACGGCTGTGAAACCTGGACCGTCTGCCAGCGCCATGCCAGGAAATGGAATTGCTTCCATTTGAATTGTCTTAGGAAGATTCTAAAGATCACCTGGCAGGATGAGAGACCAGACACTGAGGTCCTTTCTCGAACTCAACTGCCAAGCATTCAAACTCTACTTCAGAGAACACAACTCCGATGGGCTGGCCACGTTGTTCAGATGCAAACGTAAGCTTGCCAGAAAGACTATTTTATGGAGAACTCACACAGGGCAGAAGAAGCAATACAAGGACACTGTCGAGGTCTCTCTGAAGAGCTCTGGAATTGATTGTGTGACATGGACAGGCGTGTCCGGCACAGCGTGCCCACATCAGACAAGGTGCTGTGCTCTATGAGCAAACAGAATTGAAACAGCCCAAAAGAAATGCAGGATGCGCAAATTTAGAGAATCCACCCACATGTTCACATATTCATTTGTGCCCAACCTGCGGTAGAACATTCTGAGCTCGTACTGTCTGACAGCCACAGTCAGATGCCCTAAAACTTGACTCTAACATAGTGATGTCATTTGAGTCCTCTTTGAAAATGAGGGACCTCAACCAATTAGGCACCAGCTGTACACCGAGAACGGGGACAGATGAGGTGTGCCATGTTCAGCTGGGCCTTGAGCCTTGTCTCTGCAGAACTTTTATTTGGCACATGGACATGATTAATAACTTCATTTTGTTGTTCAGTCACTTTTCAGGCCTGTCCGACTCTCCGTGACCCTATTTGGGGTTTTCTCAGCAAAGATACTGGAGTGGTTTGCCATTTCTTCTCCAGCTCATTTTACAGATGAGAAAACAGGCAAGCAGGGTGAAGTGACTTGCCCAGGGTCACACAGATAGTGTCTGAAGCTAGATTTGAACTCAGGGAGATGAGTCTTCCTGACTCCAGGCCCAACACTCTATCCATTGCACCACCCAGCTGCTACTTACTTCTATATAAAATACCTGTCATTGCAAACGAAGTGCTATGCCTCACCTGAAGGGGTAAGAGGTCATTATTACCCCGGGGTAATGAGAACCCTTAAGAAGGAGGTGACACTGGGGTTTGGACTGAAAGTATAGATACAAATGCATCTGTAGCTCTAGGGAAAGGAGCCACAAGCCATAGAAAGAATCCAAAAGCCTCCTTCACTGGAGCTTCATCCAGGCACGTCCACTAAACATGGGGGTTCCCCAAAGCTCTGTCCTGGGCCCTCTTGGCTTCTCTTTACAAGGTTTTACTTGGTGAATCTCATCAGCTCCTATGAATGCAGATGATTTTCAGCTCTACATAGTTAAGATTGGGTCTAAAACTACCCAACTCCCATACCTCAACTATGTGAAAATACATTTCAACCAATCAAAAGACCAAGCATGAAATGCCTTTGAAAGTCATACAAGAGGTCTGTTACAATGGGCTTGGGAATTCCATCACACCCTCAGGGCTCTGTATCCACCCTCGAGGGGACCGGGCTCAAATCTGCTGTCTTGCAGACCTTTTTCAGTCTCCCCTCCCACTGTTTATGCTTTCCCTGAGATTGCTTCCATACATTTATACCATATAGAGCTTACACGTATTTATTTACTGTTGTCTTCCCCATGAGGATGGGAGCTCCTTGACGGTGGCGACCATCTTTTTTCTCTCCTTGTGTGACCAGGGAACAGCACAGTGCTTGGCACATAGGAAATACTTAGAAAATGCTGAGGAGACCTAAAGTGATGGCTGAAGGTTTGAAAATTACTCTGCAGGCGAGAGATACAATGAAGAGCTGAGAAGTCGCACGACTCGAGCCTGGCGGCTGGGGAACCCTGGACTCTAGGGACCTGCAGGGCGGCTGTGATAACCCAGCCAGGCGAGAATCAGGACGAGCCCAACCGCGAGCTGGGTCTGAAGAGTGTCATTGGTCCTCACGACAAAACTGCAGGAGAAGTCTACAGGCATTAACCCCATTTCACAGGTACGGAAGCAGACTAAGATGCTACGACTTGCCCGGTCGCTGAGCTAGTAGACATTGGAGGGAAGGTACGAACCTGGACCCGTCTGACCCTGGGGCAAGCACTGCTTCTACTGCACGCTACTTCTGCATACGAGGGCAGCAGCAACAACAACGAAGAGAAAGAAGCCCATGCCAGGGAAATTTTCATGGTAGAGTGGACAGGACTTGGTGAAGGAGAGTTAAAAAGCCAGAATTGATACCAAGGTTTTGAAAACAGGAGGCGAGCTGAATGGCGGCACATAGCGCCAGTGGCAGCTCAGCTCAGGTTTGGAGGGAAAGGGTCAATCACTTAGAGGGCACATCTGAAAGCTTGGGAATAAGTTAAGATTCCTAGTCAGCCAGTCAGTAGAAAAGAATGAGTGGAGCTAAGGCACGGGAATGAAGAGGGGCTGGGGAAGGCTTCCTGGAGAAGGCAGGACGTCGGCTCCCAGAAGGGCACCTTCTGCTCCTGCCTCACGTTTATTATCTACGGGACCCTGAGCCTCAGCATCACACGATGGAGATGTTGTGAGGATCAAACGGGATCACAGACATGGCCTTTGAGACCTTAACGCATTAAAGAACCATGAGTTATTATAACCATCATGGAGACAGGGTAGAGAGAAGCCATCTATGGGAACGTCCACATCACTGGCTGTGGAAAAAGACAAGCCCTCAAACAGACAGAACAGGAACAAGCCATTGGCGTGTAGAAGTCAGACGACCACCGTGAGCAAGTCAGCCCTTCAGACTCAGTTTCCTCCTTTGTAAAGGGGGATGAGAATACTCGCACTCCATCTCAAAGGTGGAGGAATGTGCTTTGAAACCTTAAAGTACTTTTAAAATATGAGTTGTTGTTCTTAAATCGAGAGAGTAGAGTGTCCTGAAAGACAAAGATGGACAGAGTACCCAGGAGGAAACTACTCCAGTTTCTGACATTTTACAGACACAAAGGAGGATAAAGATCAAAAAGGAGGACACTGCATGTGTTGCTAAGGAGGCCACTGGTGAGCTCTGGAGGGGCACTTTCAGGAAGGCGGGTGGGACATGAACTCAGCTTCAAAGCACGGAAAGAAATGAGGACAGAATGGACTGGATGGAGACCGATGTTTAATGTCTGTCAGGAGAGAGATGGGGTGGTAGCTGGCTGGTGCAGAAGGTCCAAGCCCACATGTTGGGCTGTTTTCTAGTACTGCAAAGACCTGGGCATGTTTGTAGACAACCAAAGGTATGAGATTGAATGACGCCAAGGTCAGAGGGTGGGAATTCTGCAAAAATACAGGAGGAATTTTCAGCAAAGTGTAGAGATGGCTCTTCCTCAGCGACAGGAAGGAAGAAGAATGGATGACAATTCGCAGAATTTTTCAGGAAAGAGGTTAAGAGAGCACATGCCAATTGGATATCCACAGATTTCCCAGTAAATTAGGAGTCCAAATGTTTTATGTGGGAGGAAGGTGGCTGATGAGAAAAGAGGTTTTAGGAGTTTTTATGGGTGATTAGGCAAGGATTTACTTACCCACAGAGTTTTAGTTTGAATTCCCTAATTTTCAGCTAAAGAACTGTGGCTCTGGCTGAAATCCTTGCATTCACAATACTTTTCTCCAATGTGGATTATTTGATGTTCAATAAATTCCATGATCTTGATGAAAGGATGTCCACGTTAATTAAATTTATAACCTCCCTTATCATGAATTGATGTTTGCTGGGCAAAAAACAAAACAAAACAAAACAAAACAACATTCCCTACATCATTACATTCATAAAGTACACCTCTCTAAGAGTTATCTGATACTGACTAAGTCTTATTTTTTGTCAGAAGACTTTCCCACATGCATAAGGTTTTCTTCGGTATGAATCCTCCAGTGTTCAATGAATCCCGTGCTCTGGTAGAAAGCCCCACGTGTTACATTGCTAAGGATCATAACCACTATGGATTCTCTGATGTCGAGTAAGTTGTGCCCTCTGACCAAAGGCTTTCCCACATTCACTACATTCATAAGGTTTCTGTCCAGTATGAATCCTTTGATGCACAGTGAGCTGAGACCTCTGGCGGAAGGCCTTCCCACATTCTTTACATTCATAGGGTTTCTCTCCAGTGTGAATTCTCTGGTGTTCGGTAAGTCCTCGGCTCAAGCGGAAGGCCTTTCCACATTCGCTGCATTCATAAGGTTTCTCTCCAGTGTGAATCTTCTGATGCAGAGTCAGCTGTGAGCTCTGTCGAAAGGCCTTCCCACATTCTTTACATTCATAAGGTTTCTCACCAGTGTGAATTCTCTGGTGTACACTAAGGCCTCTGTTCCTGTAAAAGGCCTTCCCACATTCAGCACACTCATAAGGTTTTTCTCCAGTGTGAATTCTCTTATGTAGAGTTAGTCCAGTGCTCTGGTAGAAGGCCTTCCCGCATTCACTGCATTCATAAGGCTTCTCTCCAGTGTGCATTCTCTGATGCAGAGTTAGCTGTGACCTTTGGCGGAAAGCTTTTCCACATTCATTACATGCATAAGGTTTCTCTCCACTATGAATCCTCTGATGGACAGTAAGATATGTCCTCCAGCGGAAGACATTCCCACACTCACTACATTCATAAGGTTTCTCTCCCGTGTGAATTCTCTGATGTTGAATAAGCATAGAACTGCGATAAAAAGCCTTCCCACATTCACTGCATTCATAAGGTTTCTCTCCACTGTGTATTCTTTGATGTACCGTAAGGTGTGTTTTCCTTCGGAAGGCCTTTCTGCATTGATTACACTCATAAGGTTTCTCTCCACTGTGAATTCTCTGATGCATGTTAAGTTCTGCCCTCCTTCGGAAGGCCTTCCCACAAGCCTTACATTCATAAGGCTTCTCTCCAGTATGAATTCTCTGATGTTCACTAAGCTGGGACCTCTGGTGGAATGCCTTCCCACATTCATCACATTCATAAAGTTTCTCTTTAGTGTGTATCCTATGACTTTCAACAAGACCTGCATTACAAATTAGGGATCTGTCATATTCATTATACTTAGCCAGTATCTTCTTTGAGAACATCCTATAACATTTTCTTAGCTCTGAATACAGTCTGAAGTTTTGTCTATGGGTATCCCACTTATGGACACCCTTTCCTCCAGAAAATTTCTGTTGTGTTGAAAGACCTGTTCTCAGACTAAAACTCTTGTCATATATCTTACATTCGTGGCCTCTCAGTTTATTGGAAGGTTTCCTCTGGGTGAGTTTCATTTGTTTAGAATATCTGTCCTCATCGCTCCACTGCTTCTCTACCCCAGCATCCCATCCCCAGGCTTCTCCCAACGTCGACACAAAAGATACATCCCTTGTGTGTCTTCCTAGGGATGAGTCTTCTGTGGAGAGGCCGAACTTTGGAGATGACTCCCTGGTTCCCGGGCCAGTCTTCCAATCTGAAAGACATTTTTAAAAAATGTAAGTATCTGGTTTCTCTATTGTAACAACTTCTGTCTCTTGTGTCTTCTATCAAGAAAAAAAAAAAGATTTAAAAGACAGCAGCACCATGTCACGTCTGAGGCGCGGCTATGAGGGAAGTGCTTTGTAACCCTGAAGACACCATACAAATGTGTATTATTGTAGTCATGTATTTAGTAAAAATCTGACCTCATCAGCTTGCCCCCCAAACCCTTCCCTCTCCCCTCCCAGTCACCCAAGCTTCCTACTGAGGTGTCATCCTCAGCCCCTCACTCTTGCTCATCCCCCACATCCAATTTGTTGCCCAGGTCTGTGAATTCTATCTGCTTATATGCCCCCCTCCCCCGACGCCGCCCCCACCCTGGTGCAAGCCCTTTTCACCTCGTGCCTGGACTGCTGGGGAGGAGGAGGAGGGAGGGGGTCTACCTGCCTCAGTCTCTCTCCACTCCAGACAATGCTGCATTCAACCACTAAAGTGATTTTTCTAAAAGGCAAGTCTGACCATGGTACCCCCCACCCCATTCAATAAACTCCACGGACTCCCCATTGCTCCCAGGATCACACAGAAGTTCTGCTCTTTGAAAGCTGGGAAACAACTGTTTACAGCAAGTGTCTCTGATAAAGGCCTAATTTCTAAAATCTATAGAGAACTGAGTCAAATTTATAAGAATACAAGTCATTCCTCAATTGATTAGTAGTTAAAGGATATGAACAGGCAGTTTCAGATGAAGAAATCAAAGCTATCTATAGTCATATGAAGAAATGCTCTAAATCACTTTTGATTAGAGAAATGAAAATCAAAACAACTCTGAGGTACCACATCACACCTATCAGATTGGCTAATGTGACAGAAAAGGCAAATGATGAATGCTGGGGAGGATGTGGGAAAATTGGGACACTAATGCATTGTTGGTGGAGTTGTGAACTGATCCAACCATTCTGGAGAGCAATTTGGAACTATGCCCAATGGGCTATAAAACTGTGCACACCCTTTGACCCAGCAATAGCACTTCTAGGGCTGTATCCCAAAGAGATCATAAAAATGGGAAAAGGACCCACATGTACAAAAATATTCACAGCAGCTCTTTTTGTGGTGGCAAAGAATTAGAAATTGAGGGGATGCCCACCCATTGGGGAATGGCTGGACAACTTGTGGTATATGAATGTAATGGAATACTATCGTGCTGACTTCAGAAAAACCTGGAAAGACTTGTATGGTCTGATGCAGAGTGACATGAGCAGAACCAGGAGAACGTTGTACACAGTAACAGCCGCATTGTGTGATGATTCATATTGATAGACTTAACCCTTCTCAGCAACGCAAAGATCTAAGACATCTCCAAAGGCCTCATGACGGAAAATGCTATCCACATCCAAAGAAAGAACTATAGAGTCGGAATGCAGACTAAAGCACGCTATTTTCACTTTCTTTGTTTTTCTTGTATTTTTTTTTCCCTTTTGTTCTGTTTCTTCTTTCACAACACAATTATATGGAGGCACAACTGGTCAGCCTAAGTGCAGTTTCATCTCCTTCAGTGTCCACTGGGCAGCCAGCGGGGAGGGACAGGGTGAGGACACCCTCGGCAGGTCCCTCTGTTTTCAGAAGGACACTTTGGATGATGAATAAGGGCCGCGACGTGGCTGATGTGGGCAGGGAGCAGGGGATGGACAGAGGAAGGCGGGCTTTCAGGAGAGGATCGAGGAATAAGTAAAAAAGATCAGCATGAACCGAAGCTGGTTGGGGGGAAAGGAAGGTTCCAAAGGAATAAGAGAAGACGGGACAGGAACAGAGGCTCCCCTCTTAGCCCCATCTCCTCTGCAGAGATCCCTGGTCCGGACAGGAGAGGCAATAGAGGACAACGGGGGGAGAACACAGCTAAGGGGAGTTGGGGGGGGCAAGATGACTTAGGCGGCCAGATGAGCTCACGGCCCCCACTTAAGTGAGCCACGTATCCGGAAATCCTGAAATAACCGCCAGACATGGTGCCAGCCGCCATCCAAGTCTTGAAAGACTGTGCCAAAAAGGAGAGGAATTCCAGGAAGAGTAAGGGCCCGATCTTGAGGAAAGTGATGAGAGGGCAGTGAGCCCCTCAGAGGCCAGCAGGACAAGAGTCTAGACTACAGGGTCAAGCGGACAGTCAGGGAACACCCAGAGGGAATTCCAAAAGGCGATTCCCAAGAGCTAACTTGGCTTTATCCAAAGCAGATTTATTTTTGACAGAGTAGGTGGACTGACAGATTGGGGGAACGGAGAAAGAGTAGACTAAAATTTAGGGGAGCATCTGTAAAAGGCTCTTACACTATCTTTGGACAAAGGATGGAGGGAAGGGGATGAGACATTAGCGCAATCAGATGGACCTAGGCCTCGCTGAAGGGGCCTGGTCACAACGGCCCCGACTGATCTGACGTTTCCATGAAGGAGAAACATCCGCCTTGGTCCACGGTCCTGCCCTGTTTATTTAACACGGTTATCAATGACTTTTACTGTAAAAGGCACATTCACCAAAGCTGCAAGGAAAAGAGAGGATGACACAGTCAGAATGTAAACAGATCTTGAGGGGGAACAGCATCTGGGCCACAGCTGACAAGATGAAACTTGCTGAAATACTCAAAGATGAAATTTAATCGGACGAGGCGCGGTCAGATAGCAGCTGTTCTGAAGAAGATCTGAGAGTGTGAGGACCACACGCTCCACCAACACCAGGACATCAGGTGTATGATGAGGTCGCCAAGAAGGGTACGACAGGGGCTGCGTTAGGAGGTTAGGAGAGCTCGGGCTGCGTTAGGAGGGTGAGGTCATTAGGAGAGTAATACCGCAGCCGCGTCAGGAGGGCAGAGGATCGCCAGGCAGGAGGAGGCGAGAGGACATCTAGGGCACTGTGCGCACTCTGAGCGCCACGACTGCCGCGCGGGGTCCGGGAGGGCAGCGAGGCCGCCGAAGGACGGCAGAGGAGTTAAGGGTGGAGCGAGCATGACACCGTGTGCAAGACGAATGAAATCCCTCCTTTGGCAGAAACAGGAGCGACTTGGGCTTGGAGTCAGGGAAAATCTGCTAATGATCTGAGCTGCCCCAAAATGGAATGGGTGGCTGGCCCCAGAGGTGGCAGGTGCCCCTCCCTGGACACTTCAAACCGAGGAAATGAAGGGAATACACATTTATTAAGTGCCTGTTGTGTGCTAGGCACTGTGAGAAGCCCTTAACAAGTATTATCTTATCAGAGCCTCCCCACAACCCTGAGGGACAGCTGCTGTTACGATCCCCGTTTTACAGGTGAGGAAATTGAGGCAGAGGCAAAGTGACTTGCCCAGGGTCAGCCAGCTAGCCAGTGTCTGAGGCTGGATTTGAACTCAGGTCTCCTGACTCCAGGCGCCACTGAGCTGGCTCGCTAACAGTAGGCATCCTGTCAGACTTGACCAATGTGGCGGTCACTTTGGCTGACCTGCTTTGTGCCCCTCTTTTTCTCTCTGTTAGAAGGGATGGCCACCTAGGTAAGGGACTTGGGAGGGACACCTTCAAGGTAAAAGTGACACAGAGACAAAGGAGAGTCATAAAAATGTTTGTTTTTTACAAGAAAACGGGAAGACAAGCAGTGACCAGAATCCAAAGATCCCCAGAGACCAAAAGCACAAAAGATCCTACCAGCGGCCGGCCTCGTGGGGAGGCGCTGGTCCTAAGCCAGAGGGATCTCCGGCGGGTGACGCGAGAACCAGAGGCCCACAAAAATGCCTTCTTCAAACACCAAGAAAAAGCAGTGCAGACAGAGGCAACGGAGCTGACTTAACCTTGGGATGAACGCAGGGCCGGAGAAAAGGGGAGCGCCTCCCAAGGCATCTTCCCAGCAGGAAGACACCCCCAGCGCAAAGCTGAGCAGCCTGTGCCCCCAACGGGAGACATCACATCAGGAACAGGCTGCAGAGAAGCCTGAGAGACTCGTCTGAACAGATGCAGAGGGGAGGGAGCGGACGCGGGAGTGCAACGTGGACGGATGGGCTCTGAGCAGTGTCCAAGAGGAGGACCACGGCGGCCGTGCCAGGCTGCAGGGACTCCTCCCGCTGGCCTCCCCTCAGGGAGCACAGAAAGGAGGGGCCCTGATGCACTTTTTTCTAAATTCATGGATGAGACCAGGAGGAAGGTCAGAAGGAAACTCAGACCAGTGACAGGAAAGCTCTGAAAATGACAGGTGAAGTGACACAATACCCAAGTCCCGGCCTCTTAGGGAAAGGCAGGTGCTGGATCCAGGCAGCCTCCACCCCACAGAATGACTCACCTGCCCAGCGGCTTCCAGGGTCCTCTCCCCCTGGCCTCCAGGGTGCCTCCCCTCGCTCCAGCTGGCCGATCACATCGGGTTTGGAAGCTGTGAGTCCTGCTCAGAGGAAACGGGACAGGGCTGGGAACTGTCCCCTCTGAATTCAACCCCAGCCCCGAGACGCTTCTATCTGCCCTGCACCCTGCTAAGAGAACCCTGGACCAGAGGGGACAGAGAATGGGGGAGGGACAGTCACAGGGACGAGGCAACTAAGCGGCCAGTTGGCAGCTGTAAAGCATGCAGGGGCATGGCATGGGTGGGTCAGCACAAACTGTGCCCCATGTGGGGCCAGGGACCTGGGCTCAAATCCTCTCTCTGAGCCTTGGAGGATGTGTGTGAGGGACCGGAAGGGGAGGTGGGCTCCAGGGGTGGGGGGCAGCCAGAGAAAAGGCCCAGGGTCTGGGAGACCAGAGAACAGCCAGGAGGCTTGGGGGGAGACCTTTCCCCCTCTTTTTTAATTCTGTTTTTCCTTTTTCATTCAAAGGGTTGGCCTGCTGGGGAGGGAAGGAAGTGAAAGGGATACACATAATAGATATCAGCAAAAAGTTTTAAATATAACAAAGTGAGGGGGTGGGCCCAGCTGATCGCTGGGCTCAGTTCCAATGTGAAATTTAGAATCCTCTAACCACTCCCCCCAGAGCAAGCAGCACCAGCGCCCTGGGGCTTGGCCCCAAAGGACCAGAGTCACCATGGGTCTCACAGGAACCCACCCAACACTCCAGGCACCTTAACAGCATTCACTAGAGCCTCCTCCGGCTAAGCCCGGGTCCCAGGGGCCACTGTCCTTACCCAGGCACACCAGGTTCCCATAGTTCTCCAGCATCACCTCCCGGTACAGCTCCTTCTGGAGAGGGTCTAGGTGCCTCCACTCATCCTGGGAGAAGTCCACGGCCACATCCTTGAATGTCACCGACTCCTGGAAGACCAGACAGCTGTGCTTGCCCAGGGAGCATCCTTCCAATGGCCCCCGGTGGACGGGGAAGCCGGAAGGAAGCCTAGGGAGCCATGCTCACACCCTGGGCAGCTCCAGAGGGCTCCACGGCAAACCTCTAATGAGAATCAGACTTCCGAAACCCAATGGCAGCTCATGTTTACGCTGCACTGGTTGACTTACAAAAAGTCGCTTTTCCTCAACAACCCCCACTTCAGAGGACAAACCCCCTCCGTCCACAAGAGGCACCATCAGGGTCAGGCCTCTAACCCAGGCTGACCCCAGGTCACAAAGTCTCACCACAGTGCCCCCAAGATGGGGGGAGGGTCTGACCCACCCACCAATCAGATGGCGGGAACACTGGCGCTTCCACAGTGGACTTCTCTCCAGCCACCCTCTCCTGCTGCCAACCATCCTCCGGACCCTCATTTTCCCCGGCAGAACCCTCAGTCCCGGATGAGCAGACACCCAGGGGCTGGACCAACGTGGTATTAAGTCGGCCTTCTGTCCAAAGCCTCCTCCTCTTCCTCCACTCATCCAGGACCTGAAACTCTTCATCACCCCAGACTTGTCACTCAACCCAACTGCTCTTTCCAGAGTTACCAATATCTCTTAACTGAGTGGCCTTTCTCCACACTCCTCCTCCTTGACCTCTCTGCCGCCTGACACTGTCAATCACTCGATTCTGGGGGGGGGGTGCTGACAATGCCGCGTGTCAGTGACAAAAGCACCCAAATCTGCCACGTAAACTTGGACATTTTCTAACCTATCTGAAAATCTTCCAATGAAGAGTGCCAGGGGTCAGGCACTCATTAGTCAGAAATGTAAATATTCAACACCTTACAAAACAATTTGCAAGAACCACTGCTTAACATCAAGGAACATAGTAATTTACTGAATTAAAATATATAACCAGTGGACAGGGATGACCGGTGAGCCCAGCCAATAACACCCTTCTTCCCTCTGGATCAGAAGCGACCTTCAGACAGCACTGAGCCCAAATCTCCAAAAGCGAGGAAACTCATTTCATTACTGCTCTCATTCAAACAGCATTATTAATAATAATTTATGTGGGAGCAAAAAGGAGGGTGTCCCATTAACAAATATGATTTTCCATATATTTTTTATTTAATCACCCATTTTTAAATTCTGTTTTTGTACAAGTTTTTGAATGCACACAATTAATAGCATGGTACACGTGTATACTTTATAAATAAGTAAATATGCTTAGGTTGGGGGTGTGCTCAAAAATGTTTTACTGGGGGGGGGGGCCCAGTCACCCTGTCCTTCCCATTCCCACATTCTCCACTCTTAATACTCCAGATGAAATCCTGGAGATTATCAGCACACCAGTCATCCTGCCCCAGATACTAACTTCCAATTAGAGACAACACAGTCGTCCCTGGATATTAAAAACCACACAGGATTCCAAAGAGACGGCCCAAGTCCCAGGGACCCCTCACTAGCCCATCCCCCCACCACCGCCTCCTCTCTAGGTCACACAGTCCAGGGAGATCCCCCAAAGGCCTTCCCCTGAAGTTCTCGACTTCCCCATTATTTTCAGCCAAGCATTTTTATTCTTAGCATATGAGCAACAGCTGTTAAGTCATTTATGGCCTGGGTGGTGATGCCTGGAAGAGCTTTGTTACACAGGTTATGAGGCTCAAAGATGAGACAAAAGGGAGAAAGAAGGCCCTTTGCTGTCCCAGTATCAGCCATCAGGAGCTCAAAGTGAAGAAAAGTGCAAAAGGAAAGCTGGTTAGGAGTTCTGCAACAGGGAGGCTGGGTCCCCTCCTGGAGTGGAGAGGCAGGGGCTTGTAGGAGCCCACGGGACGCCGCCTGGCTCCCAGTTATGGAGGGTACAACTCCCCTTACTGGACAGCCGAGAACTGGAAACAAAGTAGACACCCAGTGACGGGCACAGCGGGCAAACTATAGATGAATGTGAGGGAAGGTTAGTGGACCATTAGAAATAAGGACTGAGTTCAAGCTACCACCCACTTTGGTAGACGAGCACTCTATCAATCCAAGCGCACTGGAAGTATCTGCTGTTATTTGTTGCATGAATGGGAAGAGTTCTTGCCAGTCACTGCACAAATAAGCCAGCGCAGGATGCAGGCAGTCAGGTAAGAGGGAGACAGACACCATCAGGAGGTGGTGGAGGTGGTGGAGGTGGACGTGTGTGTCTCACGATTCCACAGGTGACATATATAAGTTCTCCTTCAGAGCCACGTTACCCAGAGAGATCAGGACAGAGGTATATTTCTTTAAAAAGGAAGATGCTCAAATTATTCTGTGTTCTTTAGCACAGACATTTCCATAAGACCAAAGTTCCTGTCAGTTGATTAATCACTGTTGATTAGGCTCCAAGCTTTATTTAGGATAAAGGAAAGGGGATGGGTTGATCCGAAGTCACATGGATTTCATTTTGCAAATGTCGACAGATCTGGGAGAACGAGGAAGGAACCAAAGACAAAAGAGCCATCGTGCAGGAAGTTAAATGTAATAACGGATGTAAGGACCAAGCCCAAAATTCACTTTGGATACATTACTACACTATCTTTGTTCTCCTTAGAACAAAAAGCTCGTCACCCCATGGAGGCGAACAAGGGAACAAATGAATGGGGTAAAGGGGTGGGGGTGGGGGTGGGGGTGGGCAGAAGTCTCTGCGGGGCCCTGCACCAGGGGAGGCATCTCTACCCCTAAGGACCTGGGTTCAAATCTTGACTCTGCTGCTTAATGTCAGTTTGGCCTCCTGCCCAGTCACTTCTGGGCCTCAGTTTCCCCTTCTGTAAAATGAGGTGAATCAGACGTGGTTAAAGATGGATTTGGGAATGGGCCTGGTTCACACTCTACAGGTACAAAGACACCCCCCTCACCTGGTGGGCTCCGGGCGGCAGGGACCCTGGGGCCATCGCGGCTGCCTCCTCCTCTTCCTCTTCTTCTTCCTCCTCCTCCTCCTCCTCCTCGTCTGCTCTGGGGGGAAGGGGAAGCCTGAGAGGGGTCGTCCCGGCCCCCGCCCCGGGGAGGCAGAGCTACCCTGGGGAGCCCGGGAGGCCAAGGTCGTAGCTCCGACCTTGACAGCTGAGAGCCAGCTGGGCGTGGAGCAGACCCTCCGCTAGAGCTGCACGTGTCCATACTAGCTAGGGGGCGGGGTCGGCCCTAATCCCACCCCCGGGAGTTGTCCAATAGGATCACGCGACTGGGAAAGAGGCGTGCGGGGGCGGGGGGAGAAAGACTAGGCAGGCTCAGAGACGATTCGCTCAGCGCCTCCAACCTTCGGGGCCTTGAGGTGATACTTGATTGGTCCCAAGCCTCCCCACACACCCCCAGGTCTGACCAATGAATGCGTAGGGGGCGGGACGAAGTGCGGCTCTTCTTCTCCAGGTCCCTCCCCAGAGCTTCCGGCCCCCGGTATCGACTCACCCGGCCCAAGACGCGGGGATACGGGGCCCGGGGCCAGTGGAGCAGCAGCGGCCGAAGACGAAGGGAGCGGAAGCAGCCGCGAGCGCTCTCCGGGGCGGCAGGAGCGGATGTGACGGAACCCTGGCCCGAGCCCAGGGAGGAGCCGCAAGGCCTTCCGGGAAATGTAGGAAGGCGACCGAGGCGGCGACCGCGCATGCCCGGAAGCCCCGCGACTCTGCCGGAGGCGAGGGGAAGGGAGGGGAGGGGAGGGGAGGGGAGGGGCGGGGCGTTCGCTCCCTCTGGGCTGCTGCTGGTGCTAGTGCGCCTGCGCCTTCCATCCCTTTTTTCCCCCCCCCCGCCCCCCAAGCGAGGAATCCTTAAAAGTCCGGAGGTGCCCACCTCCCCGCCCCGCATCTGGCGGCGGCTCCATGAAGCAGCGCAAGGCATTTATTAAGCACTTATTCATTCATTGGATCAACACAGATTAAGCACCGAGGATGCGGAAAAAAGCTCAAGAGAGTCCCTGCCCTCCAGGAGCTCGCAGTCTAATGGAGGAGACAGCGTGCACACCAGTCTATGGTGTAGACTGAGTTTTACTTCTCCCGGCCCTAGCCTGACCATGCTGGGAGCCGCGCAAAGCGGCCTAGAGACCGAGTGCCGGTAATGGAGTGGGGCGACTCATCAGTTTCGGGGGAGGAGCGTTCTCCTAGCCGAAGTAAAAGCACGGGTTATGTTCCTAAAGCACAAGCGGGGAAGGAAGGCGGATTCCAGACGATGGTTCAGTGGCTTCCCACGAGGAACCCACAAGTGCCACAACACAGCAGTTATGGAGTCAAGTGGGGGGGGTCGCGACCACCTCCCCTGGGGTGCAGAGCCAGAGTTCTGGGACTCAAGCAGGTTCTGCCATCTTTAATTCGCTTCACTTAAGGTCCAGCGCCTGTGAACGTTGTCTCACAATTAGTCAGATTAGTCAGGTTAAGCTGCATTGTGAGGCAATTCTTGAGAAAACTAAATTATTAGTATATTCATAACATATGTTGATTAATAAGATAATTATAAATTCCTCGCTTCACAGTGAATGACGTACAGAATAAATGGACGATAATTCAGAGAGAAGGCTGGAAAAGTAAGAGGGTTTGGGGAAGTTTTGTTCAGTCACGTCAGACCCTTTGTGGGCCGGTGTCCTCCATCCCTTGCAGTCTGTCCACACTCACGTTCATTGTTTCTGTGACACCCTCCATGCATCTCATCCTCTGCCATCCCCTTCTCCTTTTGCCCTCAATCTTTCCCAGCATCAGAGTCTTTTCCAATGAGTCCTGTCTTCTCATTTTGTGACCAAAGTATTTAAGTTTCAGCTTCAGTATTTGACCTTCCAGTGAACAGGCTGAATTTGTTTCTTTAAGTATTGACTGATTTGGCCTCCTTGCTGTCCCTGGGACTCTCAAAAGTCTTCTCCAGCGTCACAAGTCAAAAGCATTGACTCAGCAGCTCTCAGCTTTCCTTAGAGTCTAGCTCTCATAGCCTGCATTGTTAGTGGAAGAAACATAGCTTTGACCCTAGGGACCTTTGTCAGCTAAGTGATGTCTCTGCTTTTCAGTCTGTGTCCAGATTTGCCGTAGCTTTCCATCCAGCATCTTTTAATGTCATGGCTGCAGTCACCATCTGCAGGGATCTTTGTGCCCAAGAACATTCAATCTAAGACTTCTACTTCTCCCTCTGTTTGCCGGGAAGTGTTGATACCAGTTGCCGAGATGCTAGGGTTTTTTGATGTTAAGCTTCAAGCCAGCTTTTACCCTCTCCTTTTCTACTCTCCTCAAGAGGCTTCTTAATTCCTTTTCACTTTCTGCTGTCAGAGTGGTGACGTCTGCATATCTGTGATTGTTGACATTTCTCTCAGCAGACTTCATTCCCCCTTTGGATTCATTCAGCCTGGCGTTCTGCGCCATGGACTCTGCGTGTGAGTTAAATAATTAAGGGGACAGTATACAACCTTGTTGTACTCTTTTCCCAACTTTAAACCAATCAGTTGTTCCATGTTGTTACTTCTTGACCCTCATACAGGTGGGATTTTAGTTGGGACTTAGAGGAAGCCAGGGAGGTCAGTAGTTGAATAAGAGGAGGGAGAGTGTTCCAGGAATGGGGGACAGCCAGAGAAAGTGTGTAGGGCTGAGAGATGGAGCACCTTGTTCGTGGAACAGCCAAGCCAGCGTCACTGGATTGGAGACTACATGTTAGGGAGTAAGGTGGAATAAGACCAGAAAGATGGCAAGGGGTCAGGTTATGAAAGGCTTCGAATGCCGAACAGAGGGTTTTGTACTTGCTCCTGGAGGCAATAGGGAGCCGCTGAAGTTTATTGAGTAGGGAATCACATGATCGGAGTGTGCTTTAGGAAAATCACTTTGGTGGCTGAATAGAGGATAGATGGGAAAGGGGAGAGACTTGAGGCCGGCAGAAGCCCTGGCAGCTATTGCTGTAGTCCCGGGCCGACATAATCAGGGTCTGCACCGGAAGGGCGTCAGGGTAAGAGGAGAGAAGGGGGCATATTGGAGAGGTGGTGCAGGGGGGTGAAATTGACAGACTTTGGCAACAGATCAGATATGGGGGGCAGTTTGGAGAAAGGGAGAAATCACGTTGGGAATAGGCTGCCTGAGAGACTTGTCTGAGCAGATGCAGACGCTGAGAACAGTGTAGACGAATCGACTCCGATCAAAGCTGGGACTGCAGCGTCCAAGAGGAGGATGAAGGCGGCCGCCTTCGCAGGGACCCTTCCCTGGCCTCCAATGGGAGCGCAGGGAGGCAGGGCGTTGGAAATAACCTCCGGTGCCCGAGTAGACACAGTTAGACAGCCGAAGTGGGTGTGGAACTGACGATGAGCACAGCGAGGGCAAACCTTGCACCCCTGTTCCCGGTCGGTCACGAGTCCCTCCTCACTGACTTTCGTTGGTAGAAGTCAGCCCGTCGCAGACTTCCCCAAACGCCCACCACGTGTTCCCCTTGGCCTGTTTCTCGCCCTTCATACATCGAAGGTGGAGGAGCTGGTATTCATGAGCCTATTAAGCATGCACACTCTAAGTAAAGCTTAACCTTAGCCCTACTTTCAGCCTTTTTAATCAAACAACTAATTTCACCCAAGTATAGCTGGTTCTTGAAACTCCTCCCCCAGAGCTACTTTTCTCTCCATTTATATGGAAATATAATCATTTCTTCTCACTGAGGGCCCCCCCCCCAAGCATTTTTTCCCCTAAATTCTTGGATGAGACCAGAAGGAAGGTCAGAAGGAGACCAGCGACAGAAAGGCTCTGAAAATGACAGGTTGAAATGGGGGACTTCCTAAGTCCCAGCTTCATGTAGGGAAAGGCAGGTGCTGGATCCAGGCAGCCTCCACCCCACAGAATGACTCACCTGCCCAGCGGCTTCCAGGGTCCTCTCCCCCTGGCCTCCAGGGTGCTTCCCCTCGCTCCAGCTGGCCGATCACATCACATCGGGTTTGGAAGCTGTGAGTCCTGCTCAGAGGAAACGGGGACAGGTCTGGGAACTGTCCTCTCTGAATTCAATCCCAGCACTTTTCCGAGGATTTAGGCAATCCTATCAATCAGTCATGTCCTTCAGAGACTGACCGACTGACCTACAGGGGCTGAGCCCTAAATAAGGAGATAGAGGGGGAAAAAACCTGCATCCTAATTTAATAATTCGTTATTAATAAAATAGCAAAATAATTTCTCACTCTTCTGTTAGTCTACCAGTTTATATTTTTGTAAGTATTCTTCCATTTCGTTTAAATTGTTAAATCTAATGGCATATAATTGGATAAAATAACTCCTAATAGTTCCTTTGATTTCGTCTTCTTTACTGGTGTAGTCACCCTTTTCATTTTTGATACTGGTGGTTTAGTTTTCTTCTCTCTTTTTAAAAATCATATTAACCAATGGTTTCTTTTATGGTGTTTTTTCCCCACAAAACAAACTCATAATTTTATTGATTAATTCAATGTGAGAGAAATTATTATCAATAACCAATAATTTGAGGCCATCCAGGATTCTCCCTTTCTTCCAAAGTCCTGATTTTAAAAATTAAGTCCCTTGATGGTTATTGCTGATAATGAGATTGGACTGGAACCCGCCCAGAAGGACAGCTGTTGTGCTCTGCTCAGGCAAGATGGCCTCAGACATTCTTTGATGATGATGGCCCAAAGCCATCAGAGTTGATTGTCACTCCTCTTCCAAAAGAGCCTGTAAGCCTTGAGCCTCTACATGATGGTTGTTGGTCTAAGAGAGAAGGCCAAATTACCATCCTTTTAGTACTAATGTGTTGGCCTTATTAATAAAATGAAACCATGTCTCTGGAACCTTTTAATCACCACAAATGGTTTTCTTGCATTCAATTCTATTAATCTTACCTTTAGTTTTTAGGATTTTCAATTTGGTGTTAAATGGGGGTTTTTAATTTGTTCTTTTTCTAGTTTTTTTTTAATTGCATGCTCAATTCATTGGTCTGCTCTTTATTTCATTGATGTATTTAGAATTATGAAAATTCCTCTGATGCCTGCTTTTGCTGCATCCCATAAGTTTGAATATGTTGTCTTATTCTTATCATTCTCTTTAATAAAAATATTTATTGTTTCAATGACATTCTTTAACCCACTTATTCTTTAAGATTACATTATTCAGTCTCCAATTAATTTTTAATCTATGTTTCCATGGTTCCTTATTAAATATATATATTTTTGCATTATGACCTGAAAGGGTTACATTTAATATTTCTTCTCTTCTGCATTTAACTATAAAATTTGTGACCTAATATATGGTCAATTTTTGTAAATGAGTTTGGTTTTGAACATATTGAGCTTAAGATGTCTACTGACACTTGAGTTGGAGATTAGAGACTGGAGGTCAGCAGAGAGATTGAAGCAGGAAAGTAGATTTGACAATCATCAGCATAGAGGTGGTCATTCAATCCATAGGAGGGATGAGATCACCAAGTGAAAGTGAAGCAGGAAAGAGAGAGGAGAGAAAAGGACCCAGGAGAAAGCCCTGACGCACATCAGTGCTTGTCAGAGAAAACCAGGAGAAAAGGGTGCCCTGAAAACCTAGAG